TTAATTTCATCACGTATTCATCACTCTTCTACGTTTCAGCCAGGCTCATCCCAGCACATAGCCTTCCTCACCGCCGATGAAGAACATGCCTTAGTAAAGCACTATATCACCAAGGTCTCGCAATTGTGCGGCCATTTTAGGTTTCCCGATGAAGTGGAAGCCACTGCTATTACTTATCTCAAGCGGTTTTACCTAAAGAACACTGTCATGGACTGGCATCCGAAAAACGTGATGTGAGCCTCATACGCTGTTTCCCTACGAATGGCCGTTAATCCCTCTTCCTCCTAGGTTAACAGCCCTCTTCCTCTCTCTCAAGACAACAAACAACGCCATCTCTCTCGAAGACTACACCTCTCGAATACCAAAGACCGCGCCGGCCGACGTGCTTGATTTAGAATTCTTGGTGGCGCAGAGTCTAGGGTTCGAGTTTGCAGTGTGGCATGCACATAGGGCATTATGGGGAATGAGATTAGATATTCAAGTATGTTTCTCACGTCTTACATTATGTCCTACCTAACTGCCCCTTAGACCCTCCCTAATGTTGACACCTCCGCTCTTCCCGAAGCCTACGAAAGCGCCCTCAGTCATCTCAAGGCCTCCCGCCTAGCAGATGCTGAGCTTATCTACACTCCTTCGCAAATTGCACTTACCTGCTTCGCCTGTGCAGCACCCGACCTCGCATCCGCCTGGGCTTCTGCCAAAGGCCAATCTTCCGTACTCAATTCTATCGTTCCCGATATCCTAGCAATGATGGAAAAGGATGGAGTTGAACCTGCTTTGGAAGTGGTCAAACAGGTGGACAAGCGCTTGAAAATATGCAAGAATCCGGAAAAGGTTAAGGGTAGTAAGGCATGGTTGAAGAGGCAGAAGGAGGTGGAGGAGGCAGCAACAGAGAAGAGGATGAGAAAGGCAGAAGAGGCTAGAAAGGCGATGGAAGACGATCCATTTGGAGGCAAGTTGGATGAGGATGTCCCGCCTATAAAGCCGATTGACGATGATGACGACGATTAGCGAGTGTATTGGCTTGCTGTTTGATTTACTTATCAAATTGTTTTCTTGGTAATTTATCAATCTTTCTCTTTATTTTCAAATACGATTATCATACGGCAGCGTACGGCGTTGGTTGGATACTGCTTCATCCATGATAGTAGCATTCCGCTTGTTGCAAGGCCTAGATTCTAGGGCCGCATTTTTTTTTTTGAAAGATTAAAGTTTCCCCGAATCTCGCCTATACTCCTTTATCTCTATGTCACAAGAGATTAATATCAGTTATCACAGTCTAACTAAGGTACATGAAGGGTGACGATAAGTCCATATAGTCCGTCAGGTGGCAGTCCCCGGTGCTCGGGATGTGTGGGCCGCAGCGTAACGAAAGAGCGACTCTAATGCAGGACAAACTAACATATCAAAACAGAATTCGAAGCCAACAGTCCGTCTCATCGAGACAAGCTTCTCCCCACAACAAACCCTCCAGCCATAATTGTAACTAGCACCATGAAACCCGGTAACGCCTGCGTTAGTCTATTAGCCGCATTACTGCTTCCAGAACTCGTACTTCCCAATTCCTGATGACGACCACCATAGCCATTCGAAGTGGCTAATATCTTTGGATCAATAGTTGCAGTATTGTGCAGGTCGACGCTCGAGACCGTCGTCTGGAAGATAGTTGTTGGGTCACCA